GGGGCTTTTATGACTCCCTTTAGATAACAGATTTGGAATTCTAAACAAGAAAAACATAAATAAATAACTGATAAGTAAGCAGTTTCCAGCCGGTTTGTCTGAAAGTTTCTGGGAGTCTCTTTCCTGAATGAATCATAAACGTACGAGGATAAGCAGGACTTGTAATTTCTCCTTTTTGGTTAGTTGCTCATGGTGCTGAATTTGAAACCATTTCTGGTGATGCCGTGTCTTCCATTTTCTCAACATCTGCAACATGTTTACAACTCCAAATCTGTATTTCTACACCAAAAACATAAATCCTGTTTACATAAAAGGAATAATTTCTGAAGACATTTATGTGCCTCGTGGCATTGTTGAAAATATGGCCCTCCCTTCATCTGCTCTCAAAAAGGTTCAAGATGCTTCAAAGACAATAATTGCTCAAAAGTGGAATTGTTGTTCTGCAACATGGAAACAATTTCCCCCTGTCAGCTTTGTCGGGTTTCATGGATGCTCTGAACAGTGTAAATTAGATTTGATTACAAAGTAGTTTCTTTTAGTTGAGTCATAAATAGTCTCTTGCCTCTCTCGCCCCCCGGGGTAGTTTTGTTTTTTATCGGTGACACTCCGTAATCCCTTCAAAGTGCAGGGGGGCGATGTTCATTTCCCCCAACCACACTCGGATTTCTCGTGCATTCCAGCATGCGTTTTACCCCATTAAACATATAAGCACCATGTGTTTGTCTTGCCATATTACAGTCTAAACAATGCCTCTGACATTGCGGTAAAGCTTGAAAAGCCACTTGAGTTGCATGTAGCTGTGTGCCAAAATTGCCCATATGCACTTGTCTGACCTAAACAAATTAAACCCATCAGAATGTCTTAGTAGATCAGAGACACACACACGATATACGGGACCGAGGCCTTTGATGCATGTCTTTCCCCATCTAATTAAAACTCATATGTCATACTTAAAGATTAAGGCTGGTGTTATTCTGTATTTTTCTTATTGTCAACAAAACAAAAGACCAAAACCAACAATGTTTTAGTCTGTCTCAATACTGTCTGTGTCGCGGCCCCAAGCACATCACTTTCTATCTATATCTTTAAAGATGGGTCACATGCAGTATATATATTGCTTTTTTTTTTTTTTAAGGCAAAGCAATTTCCTAAAATAGGTGGGCCTGTAGTAAATAGTGCATTTTATGGGGTTGACAATTTGCTGTGGATTGATATAAGTAGAGTGGGTGTTTACAGCCAGCCTGGTATACACTGGCCTAATAGTCACACTGTACGTGGTAATAAAGCAACATGTCATATGTCAGTGTTGTTCATTGGTGTGTTTTTGAAAAAACGATAAGGGCTTTAAGACACAATAATAACACAGTATTTTATATAAGTTGCAGAACTCGATATGTCTAGGACCAGAGAGGTGATGACTTTTTTTATCTGTAAAAACAGAAGCCATGGATTTCTTTACTGAAGGAAGCTATTGCCTTTTAAATGTGGAGTACTTTTGCATGCCATATGTAATAACTGTCAACAGTGGGCTGACTCCTGCCTGTTTTTCTCAAATTTCTCTCCATTTTAGACTACTGTGTGAAAACTAAACTGACTTTCAGGGACATTAAAGACCTACTCTTTTCTAGTCCACAATATGGCACTGTTTCAGTGGTTTAGAGTTGTGATATGCTCAGTAGCGTTATAATAATGTGTATTTTGATATTACATTTTTGACTATTGCTTGTGTAGCCAAAACAGCGTGAACACTTTCATGAAGCACATTCAATTTTCATACAGACTAACTGTGTGTGGACAACTGCTCTACTACTGCTTTTGCTTATTATACGGTTTGATTTGGTGGAAAAGAATTTGAGCAGCAACAAAGATTCTTCTGGGATAATATTAAGCTGCAGCAGAAAACAGTGTTAGCCTGAGCTGAGTGACAGCGGAGTAATAGTAATAAGTGTCAGAGCATGAATATGAGTGGATGTTACTAGTCAGCTGGTAGCCAAACAGCTGTGAATGAGCCAGTGACTGTGAAGCATGAATGAAGCAGCTGATGTCAGTCAGCTAGGGGTTCAACATGCTTTCTGGAGCATTTATAGCTTTGGCCTACGTGATATAGTACTATAACACCAAATATCACAATACAATGTTTTTTTTTCCCTACCCCAAATGCATGAACCGATAATGGGTCTGAATGTAGCACCTTCCTTTTTTACTTTCAACTGCGTGGGGATGTCATGTTCAACACTGTCACCTGCACTTCCGGCCTAAAAATGTTACTTATGATGAAGTATCAATTATCAGCTTACTATTATGATCAACAATACCGTTTCCGGGACAACCACTGAGGGACCCAGCTAGGCATTCTGGCCTCAAGGACAAGATAGGCCCAACATCCCAGAGAGTCACAAGACACCATTATTAATCTGAACCTTTTAGGCCTGCTTCCAGCTTGAGGTCCCTCTGCCTCACTGCTCCGGTTTACCACTGCCTGTCTCCAGCCCTGTCACTCATCATCATCATCATCATCATCATCATCATCATCATCATACGGACGGTTCTATCAAATCCTTTTTCCGTCAAAGCTCTGACAGCTGTCCCAATAGATAGACAAAAAATGTCACGTTCGTTTTTACAGCCACTGTCATCCCTGACCTGATGTCCCTGAAGAAGAACCCCCTCGCGCAGACCCAAACTTCCCAAGTTTCCATGTTCACTCGCCTTGTGCGCAAAAATATGAAAAGAAACAGATATCACTGTGCGAGTGCCAGGACAGTGAGTGCACGCTGCTTAAGTGCTATCTTGGCTTTGGAAATTGTGGTTTTAGGAGGATTATTTGGACAGAAAGAGAGAGGGAGAGGGAGCGAGAAAGAGACAGAGAAAAAGACTAAGAGGCGTACAGAAGACACATATACACAAAGGCTTCTGCCTCTGCTGACCACGAGCCACAGACATGCGAGTTGTCCTCTTAAATAGCTGTATATTGAGTTTATGTGACAAGGTTTCAACAGCCAGGATGGTTCAATTTAGTGGCAAAGCTGCTTCTCATTCTTTACAGCACGGAGTATATACGACTGTGGCTATAATTACACACAGTCTGACTGGCCCATAAGAATCAGGCCAATGTTATAACAGCAAAAGAATGAATGCTATTTTATTATTTCACACTCCAAATCACTGCTATCTCTCAAACTGCTTTGTTGGCAGATGCAGGGTATTTAAATTAAAAGGTTCATTTCCACAAAACTGCCCTCAACCATTTTCTAAGAGAAGGCCTCACTTTTGTTCAGATGATTGATATCTCTTTTTGGAACAAATTTTATTAATATTATCTCCTTGTGGTTATTTGCTCAGCTCGAGTGAAGCTGAGAATGTCTCAATTTTTGGTCTCCAAAATGTCAACAACAAGCGAAGGAAATATGTACTTTGTCCTCTGTCCACTCTGTGAAGTAGGCCTATAAAACTCCTCGGCCTTTGAAGGTCCCGTGGAATTGAACAGGACGCTCCCCGCCCATTGTACTTCTTTCACTCTCTTTAAAGTCGCACAGCAAACAGGGCGCCGTCTGCAGGGAGACATCTTTAAGAGGAAGGAACAGCGTAAATTCCTTGTATGTCGTCCTTGTTGGCTTTGCCATCTGGTTAGACCTGGGCACTTCAAAGACTGCATGGGTTTAACAAGAATATAAACCATGTAGAAAAATGTGACATCTATTCTAACAGCGTGATGTGATCAAAAACCTTTCCTGCTTTTCCAGCATAGTCTGAAAGACATCTTACAACAATCCTGCTTCCTTATTTAAAGTGTAGAAGTTGATAAACTGTGGCTTACAGATGCTGCACTACCTGCTGTGCACTCCAGCAATGTTTAGCCGGATGTTTTGGGGTGCTGGCATTTCCTTCATGCTACCACATGAGGGCGTATTGTTGGTGATGCATCTTAGCTGGGAAACCAATGAGTCTCATCTACTGACTGAAGAGTTTGACCAAGCAGCTGCCCTGCAGAAGAGCCAATGGGAGGAAAGCTGGCACTCCTGCAGTTCAGTAGTAAGTTTGGACAAAGAAACAAAGAATTTCCCTGCAGGGGTTAATGCTGCATAACATCAGGTGATGCATGCCTTGCATATATAAATGTTTATTCCTTAACACATCTTTGTTTGTAGCCGTCTGCATTTCAATAAACGGTTATCATCATTGATTTGTTTGGTGATTATTTTCTGGCTTCATCGCTTTGTCTATAAAGTGTCAGAAAGAGTTATCATTTGACTTAAACAGCTGAAACCCCAAATATATTCCATTTACTAACATATAAGACAAACAAAAGCATCAAATTATCACATTTGGGAAGTTGAAACCAATTCATTTTGGCATTTTTTCTCCAGAAATGACAGAAACCATGAATCAACATTTCAAACAGTTGCTTAATCATTTTCTGTCGATCAACTAATGAATTAATCGACTGACTGTCTTAAGTCCTCTATTATTAGTCACTTTAATCAACAAACTTCCAAAAAATTCCCTCAAGAAAAACTTGATTTCTTGTTACTTTAATACTAATATTAAAATGATAGCAATAACATACAGGAGCTATGTATGGCATAAAAAAATGGCAATGACTCTTAATCAGAGACTTATTCTGGATGAAGATGTGAATTCATTACGGTTGACAATACTAGTGAGAAAAGTTTTATTGTTATATAAATGTAATTCAACATGTAAAACATATTAAAGTCCAGTTTTGGGTCGTGGTGAGATAATTGTACCCAGAGGGTCACAGGTTCGATCCCACAACAGACAGGGCATCCATAAAAGCTGTAACAGGACCCAAAATGTAAATGCAATTATTGACGACACAGATATAATTTAGCTCTAATGATAAACTGCACAACCTAGAGAGAGAAAGAGAGAGGGGGGAGACTGAATTGGGGGAGTAGGAGGTGTGTCAGGGGTGGGGATACGGTGGGATGCGGGGTGCAGACTCATCCAGGGGGCTGGTGCACCGGGAGAGGCCACTGTCTCCCACCCTTCCAGTGCCACAACAGTCTCACTTTTGGAGACGTGAGCGGCAACGTATCGTATCGCACATCCGGATCCCCATCCGCCCCCACCCTCTCTATCTCTTCCTCTCTCTCCCCCCTTTTTCCCACCCAGTCCTCTATCAGTCCAGGTGGCAGAGCGCACTTCGGCCGTGGGATGCAGCCTCTCATCTCCGACACATGGACAGCGGAGCTTGGAGCTGCCGCAGCGCGCCACGGCTCCACTAGCTGAAGACACCGCGTCTCAACAGCGGAAGGAAGAGACGACCCTCCGGCGTTTTTATCTCTTGGGACTTCAAATAAAAGGATATACTTGTTCCCCACTTCACAGACTTTTCCCCCCCCTTCTTCTTCTTATCTTTTCAACCCGCAAAGAGAGCAGAACCAGTTGTGTTCAATGCGCAACCATGCTCATCATCTCGTCTCGCAGTGCGCTGCTGTCCGTCTACTACCCGCAGATCTTCCTCATCCTCACCAGCGGTAGCTACCTGTAGGTTTCTTATCAATGCACTTGCTAAATTCAAAACAAAAGTGGGTCTGATTTGCTGGCAAGCAGTTGTGCCTTACGCGCAATTACGCACCGGGAAAATCCAGTTAAGTAAGATCTCACCTTGTAAGCTTAGGTTGGTTGTTGCAGGTGTTTTATCACGACCGGGAAATACCTTCAGCATTATTTTTACACTTAAAAAGTCCGCCTTTAAGGTTAATAACTGACGTCAAATGGCCATATTTTTAATAATTCTTGTGGCTACATTTTGTCCTAGTGCGGCAGGATATTTTGGAAAAGGAAATAAACGTAACTTGGAATATCCAGTCAACCAAAATTTAGGAAATGTGGGTAAGACATGCGTGACATGAGTCGTTTAATCATTTCTATTCCACAATGGAATGACAGACTACCACAGGAACAAGAGTTGCGGACTGTTTTCCCATAATTTGAGCAGTTATGTCATTTTCACTCAAACATTGTGTCATAAATCGACTAGTTAGAGTAAATGAAGCCTTGCGCGAATGAAACCTGCATTTATCCTACATGATTTTTACATGTTCTAATACGCACGCAGCTGATGAGAGAACCTGCTTTTATGGATTTACACATTACACCAGAACCACTTTGTCATAGGAGCACCTCGTCAGACAAGGGCCGTAATTGGAAAGCAGCATGTGGAAAAGAGTCGTGCTGGACTGCTTCATGCTCTGCCTATAGGCGCAGGCCTGTGTAATGAGCTCTTTCTTATGGCATTAAAAGACCCAGGCCCTCTCAAAGAGAATGATTACTGCACCATACATTCATCTCATTCATAACATGGGCAGGTCCTGAAACATAAAATAGCTGTGGTGGTTCCAGTTTTCTGTAACACAGAAAGAGAGAGGCAGACAGAGACAAAAATGAACTGGATATGGACCCATTTCTATGATTAATTATTCTCTGTCATGTCTTTATGGAGGTCCATTAGATTACAGATGATGTGATGTGTGGTAGGATGAATGTAGCAGAGTCTTTTCATTTGGTCTTGTTTATTGGTCTGTATCTTTGTGATCTATAGGCTGGCAACTGTAATGAAAAGTTTAGCAATAAGGAACATTTTGTTTCTCCATTTCTTCTTATCTTTCCTCACTTTTTCCTTTTATCCATCTGCCTTGAGAGTCCCTCTCATTAATGCCTCTTTCTCTCTGCCCAGGGCGCTGTCCTCTGTGGTAGCTCTAGGTGCTAACATCATCTGCAACAAGATACCGGGACTGGCCCCCCGTCAGAGAGCCCTCTGCCAGAGTCGCCCAGATGCCATCATCGTCATTGGCGAAGGCGCCCAGCTGGGCATCAATGAGTGTCAGTACCAGTTCCGCTACGGCCGGTGGAATTGCTCGGCCCTGGGCGAGAGGACCGTCTTTGGACAAGAGCTGAGAGTAGGTCAGTCTGTTTGAAACTTAGCTTCTTTAGTTTTCTCTAAGAGAGTTTTCAATAGATTGAACTCAATATAGACAGCAGGATGGTCAGAGGACAGGGGTCTTAATAATTTTCTGGTTGGTTTTTTGCTATTTTTATGCCATTATTAGATATTTTAACAGTAGATAGATGTCTGGAAATGAGGGGACAGATCTGGGATCAGGGCACACACAAGGGCCAAAACTGGTTAATATTAAACACTCACTAAAGTAAATCCCTGGACTGTATGCATCAACATTTTCACAACGGTCAGTTCCATCAAACTAAATTTAGACACAAGTGGAAATCTCAGCCTTGAGGCAGGAGTATGGACGCATCTGTTCTCTTGGTGTTGCTTTAATCTGTCCACAGGTGTGTCATCAGGTATGTCAATTGGCCTAACCCAACCAACCGAGCTGTGCGGACTGATCTTCCAATCATTGAAAATGAAAGAACCGTGCTACATTATGTGTGCGGATGTTTAGCACTGTGGTTTGAGAATCAGTCTCCTCATTCATCTCGCATTGTCCTCGATCCTCCTGTAACTGTTGTCGGTGGCATGCGAAAAAGCCGCAGCATAGCTCGACAAAGTGGCATGAAACAGACTCTGAGATGGGTGGCGAAGCTTTAATGAAAGCATTTTTGGAACACCACATGCAAGAACCACAATGGATTCTCTGCTTCGTTCAGACACTAACACAAAAAAACACAGAGGCCTTGTGTTCCCAGAGGAGATTCAATCTGTAGTTCATGTGTGTGACATCACTGTGCTTGCAACACACACTGTCACAGCAAAGCAGCCATGAATGGAGTGTCAAGACTTCCTTATGGAGTAGCGTTTGATGCCTATCTGGGTGTGCCATCTTCTGACTTGAACCTACATCATGTGTAAACACACAAACTAACACGTCTTCCTGACTTTAGTCGACATTCTTCCCAGTTTTATTTCTCACAGAAGCCGGTTTGCTCCTAATGTGAACCTCTTATATAAATTGTGTTTCAGTCCGAAATGTTTTGTTGCGGTCTTGCTGTGGGTTTGGATCCATGTTTAATCTAGCAGCTCTGGGAGCAATCACTTTCTTCTACACGGGAGACAGGCAGACAGACGTCTGGATCCCTTTATTTCTTTTGTCAGAGGAAATGTCTCTTTTCTCTTGTGGTGTGTAAACGAGCACAGAGAGACACTTTGGACCCAGTTTTGATCCTCATGTCCTGTCCATGGCAGTTTTACCAAAGAAGAACTTTCTGGAAGACTAAATCCTATCATATCTGAATAAAAACAAATTGAGACTGTCAATTAATTGTGAAAATACAAATATTGAGTCGGATTTCCCTTCATTTTCACGGATTCCCAGTAAGTAAGTGGTATCCTTTTGCCACCTCCGTGTGTAATTGGAAATGAATGCCACTGCCATACCCCCTCTTGTGTCCCCAATGTACCATCCGCCACTTCATTTGATTGACCTGCCGGGCCCTGTGAACTCATTAAGCGTTGAGAAAGACCAGAGAGAATCATGCTAACCACTAACTGAAGTCAGCTCCAGCAGCTGGATGGCAACAATGGAACCCTGCATGCACTGCCGTACAATCAAAACAAATCACAGTGCGAAGGGATGGCTGTTTGGCTATTGCATGCGCCTGATGCCTTGAGAAATGCTCACCATACAATATATCTGAATGGGTCACAGATTTAGCCTGATGAGAGAAGACTTCAGAGTTTGTTATGAGTTATGGACCGGGGGAACCGCAGGCCCGATGGTTTCTGCGAGTGAGTTTGTCAGGTTGGAAGGGAGCCATTAGAATCGCCTCTACCAGAGACGCCATGCATTAATACTCTGGGCTGTTGAGAAGAACACAGGCCCAGCATTATCCTGATTGGAGAGGCACGATATCCTATTACCAATTGTAGTGCCAATAAATTCATTTTCCTCTCCACGCCATAAATATAAATGTGTTTATTCTGAAGTTCAAATGGTGACATACAAAAGCCTGGAAATGGGCACATCTCAGTTAAGCCTGGCCACAGATTATTTCAACATGCAACACAGCGGTATCATTTGCTATAATAATGTGGACCGCCTAAGACAGACACAGAATGACACTTAAGCTGCGTGAGAAATTCCATTGATGAAAAACATTAAGACACAGCAACTCTGAGTGCCGATCCAGAAAAAAAGCTCCTCCAGTCAGCCAGTAGATGTCACTTGTGTTTTCCTCACTATACTGATTACTTTTCACAATAACCATGGCTGACTACTGATGCAGATCAGAGATGTGAAACAAAGCAGAAACAACAAAATCAGCGAGTTATTATGAGATTATATAGAAGCTCTGATTAATGCTCTTTATACTGATGATATCTAGCCCTTTAATCTGCCTCATACAGTATTTAGAATAAGTGAGGCTGAACAGACTACTAACAATGTCCTACTGAAGTTGTAGTGCTGATGCTTGACATTATTAAATATAGGGTAAGGAGGATCACTTCAACATCCCTTCAATATTAATATACTCTCCCCTCCAGACCTGTATTAAAATAGATACACAAATATTCAGCTTGGAACAATAACGTGTGTCTGAAATTGTAATCCTTAAAAAGACATCTACTCCTTCTACTTCATTAAAAATACCAGAATCTATGAATATGCAAATGTTGTTTATTTTAAGCATCATTTCAGGTTTTCCTGCGGGACACAAGATGTTTCCTACTTCACTGTAAAGTCCATTCTCAGTGTGTGTGTGCACTGGAGGCTTCAGGTTTCTACATCACACTGTACAAGTTGCATCCTGGACCAGGATGACGTCCAAACTATTTGTTTGCACAAATCATGCTCCGTCCCTTAAAATTAGATTTTCAGACAGCACAGAGAAACTTTCCACTTTCAGCAGATGAATGTAAAAACATCCTTCTACACTGTCAAACTCTGCAGATATTTCATTTTGCACAGTGACGCTCAACCATCAAACTGTAGGAACAAGAAGAAAAAACTATTACTATATTTTTTGAGTGGAGGGGGACTAGTGGAGGCAGATGAGGGGAGAGCGAAGGGCACAAATCTTTTACTTATTTTTCTTAATTAGACCTCTTCTTAGGACTGTGTGGGTGTGTACAGCTTGTGCAAGATGGTCATCTCTCTATACCTCCTATTAGTTCTGTTGCAAGTGTTCAGGTGAGACAAATTAAACCTTCAGTAGCATCTTTAATTTGACACTAAAGGCCTCCTAAATGCCCCCTTCTTTCAAACCCAACACTCAGACTGGTCTTGATCCAGTAACCAAACATTAATGTCAAAATAACACCAACACTAAGTAAAGTTAGTAAAGTAACACCGTGTTTTTCAGTAGTAGCCTACTTCTCATGACAAGTAAGCTGCAATTCATGTGTAAAATTGGTGCAGTGTTTCTGCACCAATTTTGGCTTGTGCCATAACAGCATAACTGTATGATGGTTATGCAATTCCTGCCATTCTGAGTAAAGTATTGTAACTTTACAGATCTAACTGATTTTAGGTCAATTAAAAGCTACTCAATTTTTTCAATCTTGTATTATGTTACTTTCCACTACTTTCCACTCCAACTCAAATGTTTTACTTTTTCTTCTTTAGGCAGCAGGGAGGCAGCGTTCACTTATGCCATCACCGCCGCCGGAGTTGCCCACGCAGTGACCACAGCTTGCAGCCAAGGCAACCTCAGCCAGTGCGGCTGTGACCGCGAGAAGCAGGGCTACCACGACTACCAGGAGGAGGGCTGGAAGTGGGGAGGCTGCTCGGCTGACGTTAAGTACGGCGTGGAGTTCTCGCGGCGCTTTGTAGACGCCCGTGAGATCAAGAAAAACGCCCGCCGGCTGATGAACCTGCACAACAATGAGGCAGGGCGAAAGGTAACGCAAGCAAAGTCAATTTGACTACACCAAGGACTATTAGAATCTATTTTTGGGGTTCAAAACCCGCCATACTCCAGTCTAAATATGTGTAATATTATGTAGGAAGAGAAAACAAAGGATTAAACAAAGTTCTTGTACACTAGAGCAGTGGCACTCAGCCTGGGGTCCGGGGAACCCCAGGGGTCCTTGAGGGTGTCCCAGGGGTTCCCCAGGAAAATGGGAAATATTTTAATTTCACTCTTATTTCATTAACTAGGAGTTAGCCAACTGAGAGAATGTATAAGTATGACTCTTCTGTTTATAGGTTTAACACTCTTCGCTGTTAATCTGCCAATCTACAGTGTAGATTATCTAAATCTTATCAGACTCTGAGGCTGAATCTTAAAATAAAAATATGGGTCTGTGGTCTGATGTGTATCAATTTGGGCGTCCTTGACACCAAAATGGTTGAGAATCACTGAATTGCAGAGCAAATATGAGTGTGTATGTGTGACAGAAATTCAAAACTTGGCAGATACAGCAGCCAAAATGGAGGTGTGCCATAGCCTTACAGTCCATTCACTGAATTACTCCGCATTAAGTGAGGATAGAGGATATTATTGCAAGTCTCTCTCTCTTCCTTCCTCAGTGGCAGCACCAAAAGCCCATGCTTCTGCACCACCGCGCACACTGAACCAACCAAAGTCAACAGAAAGCTCCCCCAGAATGTGATAGCCGTGAAGGGGAAGACAGAGTCGCTGATTTGACCAGTGCTCTGCACAAACACGTTACAAGACCTTCTAATTATGAGCTATGACGCTCAAAAGAAATCATACTGTCTTCGAATGAAAATGTATCTGCTGTAAAAAATGAGAAACTCAGTCACAAGGGCAAACATTCACCTGTCAGTTTTGTCATCTGAGAATATTTGTATGGCATTATAATATAAATTTGCCTGGAACCACAATGTAATTCTATATATGTATGGTTGCACAACAGCTCTGGTCAGTTTTCTCGGGCTGTCACGCCATTATGTGGTCTGAAGAAAGGTAAAGTTAATTAGAGACTACTGGCTCGGGGTATGAGTTATTTTCCCCAGGTTTCTGACATAAAGTTGGCATACTTGTTGGATGTGCTGGAAGCTGAAGTGTCCGCAAAAAGCATAGCTTACCAAAAGAGACAGATCTGAAGACTACGCGATTGCTGCGATAACTGTTTCAAATTCAAGCCATAGACGTGTATGAATCACACAGAATATATTTTCAGCTCTTAACTATCTCTTTTAATTCATACAGACCTAATTTCTACTCTCTCTCAGATCCTAGAGGAGAGGATGAAGCTGGAGTGTAAGTGTCACGGCGTGTCTGGCTCCTGCACCACCAAGACCTGCTGGATCACCCTGCCCAAGTTCAGAGAGATCGGTTACCTGCTCAAGGAACGCTACAGCGACGCAGTTCAAGTGGAGCCTGTTCGGGCCTCACGGCTCCGCCAACCCTCCTTCCTACGACTCAAAGAGGCTCGGGGTTACCAGAAGCCCACGGACACAGACCTGGTGTATCTGGAGCGTTCGCCAAACTACTGCGAAGAGGACACAGCCACGGGAAGCACAGGAACACGGGGCAGACTGTGCAACGGCACCTCGACCCACACAGACAGTTGTAATGTGATGTGCTGCGGCCGGGGTTACAACACGCACCACTACACGCGCATCTGGCAGTGCAACTGCAAGTTCCACTGGTGCTGTTTTGTCAAGTGCAACACCTGCAGCGAGAAATCGGAAGTTTTCACCTGCAAGTAGGGAATGAGGAAGCGAGGCACTGGCTGCAGGGGACAGGGGAGAGGCTGGGCAAAACGGACAATGGCTGAAGATGAGGGGCTTATGACAAAGTGGAATTTGAAGTGAAGGACTTGGAAGTATTTATTCAACAATTTGCACATTTTTACATCCTATTTTGGAATTCTTTAAAGAAAGGAAAAACAGACGTGAGGTTTGGACAGTGATTGAAAGATAAAAACACATTTTCTTTTGCGCGGTGGTACAAAACACGAAACTCACAGGTTGCAGGGGAGAGGTTCTGATGTTCTCTTTTTTTGCCTCCAGCAAAGCAATATTTGGAAGACAACATCTTGCAAAGATGTCGCTTACAGATGTCAACGCACAAGAGGAAGAAAACACAACAAAGACTATTGTTGGGATCTTGAGAGGGCTTTTTGTGACACGCTAACTGGAAATGCTACAGCTGCAGAACACTTTCAGACTGCCATGAAAGAAGACAAGCTCCTGGTGAAGATATGAAGCTGGCAGTGGAATACTTTTAACTGTACGCTCACACTGTATTCTGTTTGATCACTGAAAATAAAACAAAACTATTTATGTAAAAAATATCTTTCAAACCTAAAGTCTTAGAGGAAGGATTTAAACATTTTTCCCCCCTTGTTTATGATCTTCACTTGCTACTGATACATGTCAAGCTGGAAGTAACCGGTTTTTAGTCATATGGAGTCACATTTCTAGCCACTGAACAGCGAAATCATCTGCTATTTCACTTCTTATCCATTATCAGTCATCAGTGGCGTATTTTGCTATAGATTAGTTATTTTTCTTTTGCACTCACATAGTCACATTTGTTTCTCTTTTTCATGGGACATCAGTAAGTTGGGGGATTGAGTGCTGTGCTGACATCTCTCTCATGGACATATCCCCCCCCTTCCTACCCCAAGCCCAGACCCTTTGTTACGCCAAGAGCCAAAGAGGCTGAAAATATTCCCAAACTATTTTAAGCATCCAACTTGTCAGTTTGAACGGCACTTTCCATCCTGACCATGTTCATTGTTTTCTTTTCGGAGGGCTCTTGACTTCTGAGAAAAGCATGTAGGCCTCATTGGAACTTCATAGAGGTGCAATCAGGTTCAGATACATCCAACATTCCCATGAACAGCAGAGACGTGGAATTCCACATGATGGCCTCTGCTTACACAAGGCCTTCCAGCGCGGTTTAGGCCTGCCTGGGTGGATGGCATGTGCCCCAACCACACAGAAGGGGGTATGAGAGGATCAAAGGCCTCAAAGCTATTTTTGGACAGCACCCTTAATGTATTCAGAAATGTTTATTTAGGCTTTATATAACTTACAAAACAAGTTGAAGAGTATATTTTTATATGAGGAGCGTGGCACTTTATGTCATTTATAGATGGAAAAGAAAGTCACTATTTACTTTGTTTTCTAATGTCATTGTTTTCAGATTTAAGAGCTATAAATTATTTGGAATTTATGTCTTTGGATCAAAGTTCCTAAATTGTAAATACTCCACGTGTTTTACCAAAGTAGCCCAGATTGTCCATCTCGATACGATCCTTCACAATTCATCGTAGCTCATAAAAGCTGAGTGATTCACCAAGTGTTGGAAAGTCAAGGAAATTTTGTGGAAACCACTGTTTAGTATTTGAGTAAATGCATGGATAATACATTGGAAGCAACCAACTGGTGGTGCAGCTTTTGACTGAAGAGATTTATGTGTTTCCAGTTGTCTTCATAACCCTTACAGTAACTAGGAACAACTCATTGCTTCCTGAAAGCATATTTTCCAACTTCAAATACAGCTAATTTAAAGTTTCTTTATTTGTTCTGTGGCAAAATCAAAGTCTGCATCACTTACAAACATGGACAGTTGTATTTTTCCTTTTTTTACCAATAAAATTTGAGCATCCTTTTTTAATGCCTCTTGATTTTTATGTCACATATGGCCTTTATTGGCCTCATTAAAATCATTACAAAAAGCTGTTTGTCACACACAATACTTTATTAGACATTATAGAAACATATTGTTTGACCCAAACATGAAGCATATACTTTACACCCTGACAACGTGTTTTTTGCTGAAGGCCAATATCAAACCAGAAGGCACTAATACAATATAGTAGAGGCCTGTGGTGTAAAACGCTGATATGGGAAACACAAGAACTCCTGGCCTCGACTGATGTGGTACTAATGTGTTAGGAGGTGAACAGTCGGCCGTGGCCATGCCACCTCATTCAGCCCGGCTGACTCGCACAGCCTCTTTCCTGTGGGGCTGAAAAGCATTGCAGCCAGCCAGTCGAGCGCAAGTAACAGCTGTTTTGTTAGCTGTCTGAAATCCTGGGGACCGGAACAGCATAAGCTCCCTTTACTATGCCGGTGGATTGAGGGGAGAGTCCAGCCGATTGTTTCAATACATTTTGTCATTAAAAATCTGAAGCAGAGCAAACAGGGTGGAGCAGGGTGTGGGCACGCCTGTAAAGCGCTGCATTGTTGAGGTGTCAGGACCGTTCAGCTTATCCAGCAACAGGAGGAGCAGGGAGGGATGTCATTCTGCAAACTAATGCTTCTGGTCTGATTCACTCACTCATTCATTCACTCGCTCACTTACTCTTTTGGATGTGTACACATTCAGTATCATCTATTGATCCAGACTCACTATCTCACACACGCAAAACACAAAGCTACAGCTAAACAGAAAGCACGGTATTTTCTAAAACTCTAAGAAAGTCTCTGCAGTCTGGTAAAACTCAAATACAGCTTACTGAGAGCGAAGAGAGGCGGTCTAAGGTGTAAAACATGGACTAAATGTTGTGAGTTTTGTTGATGTTAATGATCTATGATGCATGCTTAGCCCTCACACCTTATTTATCTATAGTATGAAGATGATAGAAATAGAAGAATAAGAATTAGACGATGGAGAAAAAGATATAAGAAATTCACTAGACTATGCTGAGTATAAAACTCATTAGTTATAACCATAATACAAGAAGCATTGCAAAAGCCAGCAGAGATACAGTAACAAGCTCATACTGTATACTGAGCATTGTTTTTAAATTACAAAACATGCATAGCTCAAGTTATTCGTTTTAGTATTGCATTTTGCACTGAAATGTCCTTAGACTATATCAATAATATTATGCCTGTTCAGATAAGCAGTTATTTTAAGCGTTTGAATGAGGGAAAACACAAGTCTTTGTCCCTCTGGCAAATACACCACCATTTAAGTAGGTAAGGTGGTGGTGGGGGGGTTGATTACATCATGTTTTGGTCATTCTCTGTTTCGCGGTTACTGCAGAAGTCACTATGGGCCTGGGATTAAACCCCAACCCCTGCTGGGAACATCAGTGTCTGTGAAAAGTGAAAAGCCCAGACACTGTGGTGCTCTTTGTCTTTGGATTAAACCACAAAGAATCAGCCTTGCCAAAAAGGTACCAGCATGTGCTCGCCTCTCCCAAACTCTTCATTTCCCAGACTCTGGTCAAGACAAAACAAGAGCTCCTGCTTATATACCAGGGGGACCCCCGTGGGCCTATTGTGTATTGAGAATACCTTAAATCCCATCTGGGCATGAGTGCAAGCATTACTGAGGTAGAAAAGTAAGTTATACATACTTCTTGGATAGAAATATCTAATTGAAAAGCGCCTTTCTACTTAATCTATCAGCGGTTTGGCTGTCAATTATTCTGGACAGGCAAAAAAAATTGTTGTTAGTGGACAGGTCATTCACCCGCAGATGAAGCTTAAGTATTAGGTAACATTAATGAGGCTTGTTGCACAACAGGAGTACATGTTCACACAAGCGTATACGTGTGCACATGTACTTTTTTTCCTTTCTTAATAAATATTTCACATGAAAACCTGCTTGTGGGGCCTCCTCTCTCCTGGCTGCTCCTCTTAAGGTTTTCAAGAGTCTTTCCTCACAGGCTTGAGCAGCAAGCTTCCGTCTCGCTCCTCCACCAGGAAACCCAACTCCCTGAGCGCAGAGTAGTCAGCGGTGCCACGGCGTTCCAGGGTGGCGACCAACTCCTGGTTCTGGGGGTTGTGTTCTAGGAGGTTCCTGATTGCAAAGATGGCCCACTGGCTGATAACTAGAGTCATCTGGTTAAGGACAGCAACACCAGAATTTCACTCGTAGAGAATGAAACATACTGTGATAAACAAGTTATGTTATTTTAAAATATACTAAAATAGCAAATTACTAATAGCTGAAGTTCATAACCTTAAAAAACAAGCATGAACTTGTGTGTCAATTTTTTTTTCATGTCTCAACATGATTAAACAACAGATTAAACAACCCTACCACTTTGCAGCCCTTTTGTAACACCTTAGCAAATAATATTTAATGCTAGACATGAGTAGGGCAAGCAGTTGTCGCACAATATGTGTTTACAAAATCGACATCGTAGATAGATGAAACGTTAGAGTTGGTAGCAGGGTTAACAGTTAGTTAAACATTTTCAATGTCCAGCCCAGGATGTCAAACTCATGTGTGCCTGGTATTTGCTTTAGGTCGCCGAGTACACAGACAACCAAGGAAACAAATGAGTTTTGCAGACAGGTTATGTTTTGTGATACAAAACATTCTCAGCTCACCCCTCTCAAGTTTCCCACATAATAACATAAACATTTTTTTTTTATTAACAATGTTTTTCTGAAACAACTGCTGACACCTACATGAAAACGGTAGACAGAGTGAGCTCTGTTGTGTGTGTGTGTGTGTGTGTGTGTGTGTGTGTGTGTGTGTGTGTGTGTGTGTGTGTGTGTGTGTGTGTGTGTAAGCATGTATGGGAGAGTGCCATGGGGACAAAGGCTCAAACTATTGACCTGGTTAACGGACAGTTTGGCACGATGCCCTCACTTAAGCCAGCTAATACCAACTTGTAGCAGGGTGCACAGCGGGCGATGGAGATGTGAACGACTCAGGGGTTGGGGCTCAGTGACCGGCAGAGTACTCCAAATAAACAGAAATTGGCTTCTTCTCAAAGCCTGTCAAACTGCTGTGAAAAAGGGCACTAAAAACCTTGCACTCACACTATAGAGTCATCACTGTATTAGACAAACCAATACAAAAGTCTGGAAATAAATCCTTTCTTTGTGAATTTTACCTAGTATGAATTGTTGGATGGTAATGTTTTGTTGTTGTATTAGATTGCATCATATCAGGAGGTGTTTATAATATTCGGCCCCCCTCATTTATGTAAATAGGGGACTGACAAAACATTAACTCATATCGAAATGTAATCTAATACAAAAGCACCACTGTGGCCTGAATAATTACCATAAAACTGACTTAATTCTCTGATACAGTGACAGACTTGACATGGACGCTGATCAAAACAATAAGAAGCATTTACAAGCCCCAAAGACTTCAATAATGAATGCAACAAATCAGTTGACACTCCTGACCAGCAGTAAGCAAAGATGTAATGAGAGTGATGAACACTTTGGGACAAGTTTGGTTGGCCAGCCTGCACACACACTGCAGCAATCAAAGCTTGATGCAACACTTGTTTTTGGTTGCAAACCCACCAGCTTTCCTGTGCAAACATGCCAAATGCAATTCTAAAAGTGCCGGGATAAGATACACAATGCTTAAAATAACTTCTGGGAAAGACATATGAACAATGATTTTAGGTAAACTTGAAATATATGTACATAAACACAGATGTGTTTGTATTTCCACACCATCAACTTGGTTTAACAAAGGATACAAGGGTTGTTGCTGTCTATGTTGCAGTTGTCCAAGATGAGAGGGATGCCTTCCAGTTCTCTCACCTGAGGAAACAAGTTCAGTAAGATGTAGAAAAGACAAAATGGATTGGTGAGGATGTCTGTTTTCATTTTCCATGTCTGGCATGGCTAAAAATGTTCCAATAGTTAAGACAGTTAAAAAAATGTCTTAGCTCAATAAAAGCTAATTTCACAGTTTTTAGTCAGAGTATCTGTCGATGCTATTTGCTTTGTGATTATTATACACCCTGTATCAGGGCATTCTGTATTGATTGTCAGAGCAAAACATCCTGGGGACAATAGAAAACCAGAAATTAAATCTATGAAAAAATTTTGACAGCTTCTCATAGCATTTTCAAAGCAAAAGCAGTATCAAATGCACCAATTTCTTTTGCTTTTGGCCACACAATACTGTTGTCCATGCTTTCTATGGCGTAAAAACACCCAAATATATCACTAGCACAGACAGTGACAGTGAATCACAAGATTGGGTAAAGCAGTACAGTCTAGCTAGTAATCATGTTTTAAAGGGAAAGTACAAAGTACACATTTGAAGTGTATTCAACCGAAGTGTCCCTCACATCTATTCAAAAGCAGCAGTGTGGTTGTGGCTTAGTTTAAGACAGTCCCAACAGGGTGATCTGCTCTGTATCATGTGTCTGATTCTATAGGCTAAATTATTGTCTTTGCTTGCTGTTGCCTTCCTCTTGCCGCTGTGGTTACCCTCCAAGCATACTGGTAGGAGCTCCAGAGCAAGACAAAGTGCTGAGTTTCAGAAAATGGAAATGTCATTTACACTGTCAAAGAAACAAAGTCGCTGACGAGTACAAGCACGCAGGTCTGCATTTTCCACTTTCAAAATGATTCACTGAAGTTGCTTACATTATGTCCAAACCCATAAAGAGATGAATAACAAGCGACTGGACCCTGACTTCAGCCCGGTGCACGCAGTTCAGCGCTTTGCATGCACATCTGAAATTACAATCTCTCCCAAAGGTGAACAGAATGACATTTGGTTTACTGGAAGAGATCTTAGTGAAAACAGATATGGGGTGATTTTTGACCACTGACAGACCACAGATCAGCATCCATAAATATTATAGAGAGGCCAACTGAGGGTGGCCATCCCACAAGCATTCCACAAATCTGTTTCTATTAAGTAGGACTGAGTCTATAATGTGCCACAGATAGAGGCCAACTCCTCCCCATCCCCTTTATTATCTATCTATGTTAATCATGAGATGCTGACAGAGGGCAATAGAGGGAAACTGATCCAAATCAAAATCAATAAAATCTAAAGCGAGGGAGGGAATGTTTCACATTTCAGTGCAAAACCGAGTTGTTGTGTTGACAGAACTCATAAGCTTGCAGTTGTAGGAACACACAGCCTCACGCTCGATTAGACATAACACTCATTTACAGTCCTCAGGAGATCATGAGGGTTGATTCAACAGCCCATTACCACAACCTGCACTTTAAACATGCTAATTTAGTGTAGTGATCTGTCAAAGCAATACCAGGAGGGGCTCTCAGACCTCTTCTTGACCCATGACCCCATTGTGTTAGACTGATCAAAAGGTGCTCACTTAAGGCCCAGATCTCATTAGAGGAGAGACGTCAGTGGATTAGAAAAAGACAAAAAGTGAAGAAAATCATATGAATAACAATACCAACATTTTATTAAAAATAAAAAAAACTAATTATTTTTAAATTGGGCTAAGTTTTTCTTAAATATTAAGCATATTAATTCACAAATATTCATTCACTCTTTCCCACCCATCAGTAGACTATTAAGATGTTGTTAATTAATTACTTTAAATATTCAAAACCATTACTTTGTTAGGGTGCTTTCACACTTAAACTGTTTGGTCTGGTTTAAACCAACTCTGGTGAGTTTGCCCATTTGGCTTGATTTTTTAAGAGTTAGTGTGAAAGCATTCAGTCTGTCGTGGACTAAATGACTTCATGTTTACACCTCTTTGATTTATTTGTAATAAGTCAGTGACTGGACCAGAACTAAAAGGAAACAATGTATCTAAGTTTTTCCCTTGGTCCAGCCCAATTTAACCAAACTACAAGTGTGAAAGCAGCCTGTTTCTGTTTTGTTTTGTTTTTTTATCCATCCATTCATTCCAAACCTTGTTTTGGTTGTTGGTATTGCTGTGACACAGGTTGCCTATCAGCCTGATGAGGTGGGCCTTGAAGCTGATGACAGGGGAATGGGACGAAAAGTCTCCATCTCCACTGAAGGAGGAGAAGTTTTGTGCAGCACTGAAAATATTCTTACTGGCCTTCCCTATAGCATGTACCTGCTGCAGGAGCTCTGCAAAGAGAAGCACAAAGAGGAGGGAGATGAAGAAAAAGAGAAAAAGTAGATACATTAACTTGTGTTGTTTAAGCACTTTACTTTTATCTGGATCTGGATCTTTCACCATTTCAAGGAATGTCTCTTTTCTCCAGATGACATGTTTACCATAAGACGGCCAAATCACTTCTAGCTGTGGACCCAGTCACAGAAGTTGCGTGAGTGTGTGTTTTCATTTACCAACAGTGGTCATGAGAAGGTCAGGATGGTCCTGTAGGAACATAAACTGCCTGAGGTCTGAGGTCATCTCACACAGCACGTCCAGCAAACTAATCACTGTCAGTGCCTCCTGCAGGACCTACAGGGGATTACAACAAACAGGTGTCAGTCACATGGAGAAAGGATGCTGTGTGAGATAATGCTAGGGAGGGGACGTGTCAGTTAGAAAATGGAAAACTAAAACTGGAAAAAGCTCTCCCAATGCTACATACACATTACTCACTTCATGAGGCAAATAACACAATACCAACACCAGTTCCAAAGGCCTGCTAAACATCTGTGTTTTTGAGGCCTGCGTAAGATACATTGGTCAGGTTTACTATCTGTACCTCATCACTGGAAGCGGAGCCAGTGGCGAGCGTCAGCACAGCTCCACAACCTTTCTGGAAGGAACTAGCAAGGAAGCGAGCCACACTGGGAGGGACGCCACACTCCTCTGAGTCCTCCTCTCTTAGCTGAGCAAAGAGCAGCTCTAATAGAGTAACTCTGAAAAACACACACAAACACAGATACATATGACACATCTATAGCACCTTTTAGTATGAGATATTATTAGATATTAGCATTTTCTATGTGTAAGGTAGTACTACTTAATATGTAGCATTAGCTTTTCACTGTCTGTCACTACATTTAAAGTAAAGTACTTTTCATGGTGAGACATCCCAGAGTACATGCTCTCCACCAGAGCAGAAGACTTGAGGAAATGCTGGGTAGCAATGAGAACCCTGTAAAACAATGAATACCAAATAAAAATGTTATCAACAAGTCGTTGAAAATAGTAATTCCTTGACATCATACACACACCGTATACTCTTTAGACAACAACTGCTTTACACACTAACACAGATACACACACACACACACACACTTACGTCCAGTCCAGGTCAGGTTGGGTCCTACAGAGCTCCATCACCCTGAGAGCCAGCTGGATATTCTGCGGCTCAGACAGTTCCTCCACCTTAGCTTCATCCAGACATGTGTGGAGTACCATAGAGGCATAGTTTACCGCCTTCTCATCATCAACACTGAGCAGCTGCCTGTTTGGGTGGACTTAGTGTGAGGACAAATGGCTTGGCTACAAAGGTCTGTGATTGAGCTTTCACAAAGAAAATACTGATGCACAATGTGTGTTGGTGTAAAAAGCAAAGGGCTTAACATGGTCTCATATCAACACTGTTTTTAGTGTGGAACAAATAGAGAGATGTGGATGACACGCCTAGTCTAGAGCCGGATTAAAAACACAGAGCTAGTATACAATATAGTTGATAGTATGAATTATTATGATTTTATTGCCACACAAAACTTACAGCAAGATATTGGGGAAGCTCAGCTGCCAAATGTCATCTTTACACAGTTGGTTTCCAACTGCTAAGTTACCGAGGAACTGGATCCCACAACGAAGAGCTGGATTACGAAAAAAACAAACAAAGATAAGTATCAAAAAGTCATCATTTCATTAAGGTACATTTACCTAAGCTTAGACTTACGTTCAAATATGTCATCTCTGCTCTCCAAAGTTGTGGTCTGAAGGAGGCTCAACAGTTTAAGGGATACATCAGTGAAACCGAGCTCCCTAGAGAAAAAAGATGATTTTATTATGTACTTGCTTATTTATTTATTTTGTCAAAGAAGGTGGATACAATAACATGAACACATACTGTGCATTGCAAACTAATACAATATCGTTGTAACGCCTACAACTTTTCAATATACCAAATTGAATTGTCAATTATCAAAAAGATGTTGATTCACCCTTACGGTAATTTTCTAAACCACTTTGTGCTGTTCCTATATCTCTCTCATATTCTCCCATCTACTAATTAGATCTTTGCAGCAGAAGAGCACCTGGTATTTTCCGTCTCATTAATACTGCATTGTATGAGGAATTACCTGAGCAGAGTCTGGTTGCGAGTGCTCTGGACACAGGCGTTCCTCTGAGCCCTGAAGCACTCAGCCGTCAGCTGCAGCTGCAGGGTGACAGACAGCAGGTCCGGATCCTCACTGCTGGCAGCCTGCAGCTCATCCCACAGTCGGGACAAGACTTTTAGGAGACTGGAGAAGGCCTCTTCCTCCACAGCATCTCTGGAACAACAAATAAAAAAGGAAATCAGCACTGTTACTTCAGTGCAGAGGAGGAGTGGAATACTTTAATAGTCACTTTCACAGAAGACACTTTAATTTGACAAACACAAGTGAAACTAATAGCATTATAATTTTTTGCTTTATTATTATAATAATTACAGGCAGTGGCATCATTAATGTTCTCAGTTACACCTTTCTCTGCCATGACAACTCAAAATGTCTGAATCCACAGACAGCCTGAACAGTCGTCTTTGTAAATAACAACATTTGAACTAGCCCATATTGTACCTTAATTAACATTAGCTACACTGCGGTTAGGCGGCTGAATGAACTTCCACAACAAGGACAACAAGGGGCCTTAATAACAGTGGTGGTAATGGGCCCGTCCCGTTATGCTAGACGTTAGCATTATTATATTAGACAGTACGTGACTGGCTGTATTCAGGCCAGCTAGTCGATAAGCTAACGCCCTCATTTTCCATTTAAAAATGATGTAAATTACTTTGTCCGCACCTGTATTCCTTGTCCCGTAAGGCAGTCGTGATTGTTTTTAAGACCTGCAGGTGTTCAGTGCAGGGTTTTTCATTCAAAATGCCAGCGACAGACGCTGAGATGTCCAAATTGCCGTTGGTGGAAGCTGCCATGTTTTCCTGATTCATGCGGGTGGGCGGGACTTCCGGATAACTTCCTGATACGTTATTGGTTCAATCCGGGGATGAAGGCGGAGTCACAGCATGTGCTGCTGTTTACCCACTGTACTGTCACTCTGCTCAGTGGCTCAGGGTTGGGGTTATTAGTAACTAAGTACATTTACTGAAGCACTTTACATGAGCACAACTTTGAGGTACTTTTACTTTTCTACTTTTCTTCATTTTCTGCTGCTTTATACTTCTACTCCTCTACAATTCAGAGGCAAATATTTGACTTTTTACTACTACTACATACAAACACAAAATATTATCAACATATAAATGATATGTTAGGATAACATAAGACTTTATTTATCCTTGGGGTTAATTCAGAAGCTACCCAGCAGTATATATAAATGACTTAAAATCAGCCCCACCTTTATCAGCTGCAACATTAAAGAGATGTATACATGAGTGCATCAGTAATTATGATCTAATGACATTATATTCTGAAATGGGCCAGTCTGCACAATGAGTATACTTTTGGTACTTATATTTTGATACTAATACTTTTGTACTTTTACTTTTCTAACTTGGAAATCAGGACTTTTAGTATTTCTACACTGTGGCATTGCTACTTTGACTTAAGTTAGTAGTTTAATGCCATTATTTAATTTGCCTATTGCCTTCTGGTGTTACTGAGAACTTCTGCTCCAACTTTATCGTCCACAAAAGGAAATTTGTTTCGCAATAGGTTGAAATATAAAACAGTTGTACTTTCTCATAAGGCATCCTTTATAAGGAGTTTTAAATGGGAAGGTTGCTAACCGTCCCTTTGGCTGGTGCCTGCTCTTCTACTTTTGTTCATCATTTTCTATGTAATTTACTTCATGCTCTGTTGAGAGTCATCTTGGTCTATTATCTTTATAGTCTTGTGTAAAGCTTTGTAAAGGGCATGTTTTACAGTGCTTCATAAATCTACTTAATTTCTTTTTGCTTATAGTCAGGCCTATGTCCACCATAAGTCTAAGATGAGGTGTTTGAAGTTGACAGCTCCCATTACAGAAATTTTAGGCCCACTGTATACCTATACTTAGACATACCCGCAATATTACTGAGATAGAAGTTCTGTACAGGCTCTGAACTGCAGCTGCACCATTCCCCTCAAGCAATGTTTAAAGGTCTGAAGATCAATTCATTGAGCCCAGACAAGTTGTGGGACAATTGTTGCAGCTGCAACATTAAAGCCACATAACAAGCCTTTGGCATTTCCATGTAGAGTGGCAAATTTTAGATTACAGTATTTGGCTCTGTATGGTTGTCCCCTGTGTTTTCACTGGCCAGGCACAGCCCAGCAGTGGTGAAAGGCAGATCAATGTGGAGGAGAGTTGATTATGGATGGTGAGGACTATCCACCTCAAGCAATTTGTCAGCTTTAAAAGAGGTATTCAAAGATCCAAATATTCCCAGTATAGGAGTCCCATTATTCATTCTTTGAGTGGAATAACTGGAAATATCCTCATAAACTGGAAGTGGTAAGTTACGACGGGGAATCTGAAGAGTCGTGTTACAGAAAAAACAGGACATTTGATCGGATTTTAGTTACTCTGGAAACCTCAGTTATGGTAACTAGAAGACGGCTGGTTTAGTCTGCAGTGGTTGAGGATTTTCAGTAAAAAACCTGAACACAATTAACCACACAGAGTCTTTATTATTCACAGATGGTCGTACAGTCTGGTGATACAAAACACAATCAATGTTGAAAGCAACTCTATAGATGAAGCACATCTGGTCTGTCAAAACAGATGAAATGGAGCAAATATCAAACAGTTCCACAGGTCAACCAAAGATCTATCATGGTGTCACTCATGACAACAAAGTCTGAATTCAAATTAAACAGTAGACAGTGGTTAAGGAGATGACAGCACCCTGTTAATGTATTATATTATTTCATTTCACTCTTGTAGAAGGCATGTAACTTTCAACACATCTGGCGTAGAGGTATCAAGTGAGGAATCAGTCTATTTCTGTTGTGTGAAAAATAACTTCTGACCATGCTAACGGTGTGGCTTTATTGATCTATGGATCTATCAGTGGAGGTTGGTCGGTCGGATCGGTCCAGACTGAAATATCTCAACAACTATCAGATAGATTGGCAAGAATGTTTTACAGACATTCATGGTTCACACATGATACATAACTAACGACTTTGGAGATCCCCTATAACTTCTCTAATGCCTCCATGAGGTTGCCATCTGTGGTCTCAACAACTATTGGCTGGCTTGCCATGAAATCTGGTACACATGTCCCCCTCAGGATGAATTTTAATAACTTTGTCGATCCCTTATACTTTCATCTAGTGCCATCAGGTCTAATTTTCAGTCTGTCAAATACTTTGGTTTATGACCAAGTATGTATAAACATTCCCATCAGCCTCAGCTGTACGTTGTGTTTAGTGCTAATTAGCAAAAGGTTAGCATGCTAACGGACTAAACCGAGATGGTTAACAAGGTATTACACCACCTTAACAGTAGCATGTTAGCATTGTCACTGCAAGCATGTTAGCATGCTGACATTAGCATTGAGCTCAAAGCCTACTGATTCACAGAGGTGCTTGCATGATTAGCATCTCTGTGGGGCTATATTAAGTTGAAATAACAAAGACCTGTTGTAAACCAAAGCACTGGATGGGTTGCAAACTGCGTCTGTAACTGTTTTCAGTACATATAAAACATTTGCAAATGAACCAAATCCAATGATTTATCTTGCACGCAACAGCATTCCCAATTTAGGTGTTTTTAGATGTTCAGCAAGAAGTGTGGCACCAGATATTAAAAACTATATTTAAATAATATTTGCTCAGATACGTGTTGTATTCCTAATGCAGAATTACTACCCACTTTTTGCACAGCTCAGAACCAGAACTCAGAGACGAAGAAATGGACGATGACAATGTTGCGATGGGAAATGACCCCTGATTTGACATAGTTCATAGCCACCTCCAACACAAGGTCCCTGGGGCCAATGATAGGTTTCACCTGCCGAACAACACCTGAGGGATGACACAGACTGGGATTAGTGACTGAAATTCAGTTTTGGGAGAGATATAAGTAAATGTAATATCTGTATGTACTATTCAATAAAGGATTTAGGAATTTGGCAAAGAACTGACAGCCTGGTTTCAAGTTTCACTCTCTCCTCTTACCCATAATCATGCCCTGGTGGGAGCGCTTCTGCACATCAAAAGAGAACTGGTCATCTGCAGCCAGGATGTCAAAGAAAACATCAGTCGCACCGGGTACAGGAACAGGGTTAGCTGCCGCAACTGTCCGCAGGAAAACTAGATCTGTTGGAAGAGTTGGTTTAAAGTTTCTATTAGTCTGGTAGAAGGAAGCCACAAAGTGCATTTGGTCCTTCAAATCAGCTATTTATGATCGATTAAACAATTGTTCTGTGGGTTGAAATAAGTAATTGAATCTTTTGCGCTGTGGCAGGTTGGTGGGCGGAAAGTTTTATTTCAACGAGGCTGCAAATAACTTGAGAATTTGCTGTATTTAACAGCCTCAAAACGTCTCATATCTTCAACTGTGGAAGTAGTGCACATTTTAATTTGCATTGCATATTTTATGAAAATAACTGCATTCATGAGTTATGAGGGATTTTCTGTATATGTGGAGTTTAGGTTCGCCTGGAAAACTATTGATAGAAAATACATTTTAAAGGTGAAGGTGTCAAATAATATAGCTCATTACATAACAGTAATCTAACTAACCAGTGGAGTCTGTGAGGTTTGTGGTGTAACTGACAGCAACTATGACAACAGTCTCATAAACAATGAATAACAGGAAAGTCAATTAGGTGCAACAACAAATATTTAAGGTCACTTTATTAAGTTCAATTATGTCACTAAGCTTTCTAACTTCATAGGGGTCCAGACTCAACACCTAGAATGTTAAATAATCGATTGAAGCATTATAGCCAATAAAAAGCCTCTTCCCCTGTTGACTACAATACAAACACACCTGAAAGCTGTTTCTAAAAACTTGCTTCAACCTTGTCTTACCCTCTGGTTCACTGTAGTCTCTGAAGGTTGGCAGAGAGAGGGCGGTGTGGGTGATGAGGTGGACGGGGTCGAGATTGCAGCCAATGTCATTAGTTTGGCAGGCCTTAATACAACGTACGTTGACAGAAGCATCTTGTCTGGATCTGAAAAGGACAATGGAAAGGAGGCAAGAGGAGAGAAGGAAAGAAAGGAGAAAAGGGGAGATTTAGCCAAGGAAAGAGGAACACACATTCTGAAGGAGAAGTGTGAATTTCCCACAATTTTAACCTATACAGTATACACCAGTATTCATAAGAAAAAGCTTTGGCCAAAGCTCCACAGTTGAGTTGAGCAAGAAGAACCTGGCAACACCTGAATAGCCCCATAGACCTCCATGGTTAACCAAGGAACGGGTGCCTTAAAAGGAAGCCAAACCCCGATTCCACAACCTAAAATCATGTTTGTGGGGTTCACCAATGTGAAGACAGTAGCGCTTTCAAACATAACCTCAAAAACTGCAAAGGGAGCGGAGCCATGTAATTAGCAGCAAGCAGGTGAGTCCAAGTTGTTCGCTGAGCACGGGGCCAAAGCCACAGAGATGATTGTGTGGTAATCCACACTAGCGAAATGCCACCAAGGAAAAACAGGATGGTAGAAAAACCACACGGGGTATGTAAGAATGAATGTCATTTGATGTGATCCAATGACAGCATAGTCACATGGTAGACTGAGGAAAAAGATTCCAATTTTCACATAATCAAACGTAAATGTGTGCCCAAAAAACATTATTATAATCATACAGCGTTTCACTATTTTTACATATTTAAAAATTAACATTTGGAAAGTAGGTGGTTATATAATCCAAAGGTTTAAGAGAATAATTACCTCATATATTTCATTTCTTTGCGTTTTCAATCAACTCTATATGCATTAAACCCCCAAAACCACTGGGATGAAAGTGGAACAGTGGAAAATTTGTCTGGCTTTCTTTATCCAGC